TTCTTTGTGCACTGAAAGAAGATCGCCTGGTCCTTATTCTTCAGGATTGCATGGTGAACCAGGATAATATCTGGCAGCTTAAGGAAGTTGCCAACATTGCAAAGAAGTGCTTAAGAGTAAAAGGAGAGGAAAGACCCAACATGAAGAATGTAGCAATGGAATTAGAGGGGCTAAGAACATCTGCAAAACATCCTTGGACTAATGACAAATCAGATGTAGAAGACACAGAGCACTTGCTTGGTGAATCAGTGGAAACTGTTCGCTCTGAGGAAATGGCTGGTACGAGTGCTGGATATCACAGTTTATATTTAATGCAATCACAAGGAGATGGCAGGTAAACATTTTCTTCTAGTGTCAGAGCTTCGCTTGATAGTTTGATTTGAATAATAGCTCGCGCCATAGTAATGCTTTTCTTTTCTATAATTCAGTCCAGTTCTGTTTTTGTTACAGTGGTCCTGTAATTTTAAAAGACGAAGAATTTCTGACAGTATGTCCAATATTCAACCCGCATTGAAACTCTTTATCCTGTCTCCATTTTGCAATGTAATATTCCAGGTGATCTCCTTCTGAAAGCAAAAAAATTGCTGGACAAACTTTCTGGTGTATGCCATGCTCGTTGACAAGGACTTCGATTGTATGTCTCTGGGAAGGAAATTTTTATCGTCGCCCCGACATTTGGACAGCCACAAAAAAAAAGAAATCAGTAAAGGCACAATCATTATTCAATTTTTCTTGCCGGTGAAAACTAAATAAAAAAAAAATCTAACGTTGATCATTATAGTTCTCAACAAAGAAATTGATTCCACGTTTTTGTAATCTTATCATTTAATATGCATGCATGAAGTAAATATCTTACTCTTAGTATTTAGATACTGCATATCGAAATGAATACTTTAAACCTGATGCATAACTCAATAACTAATAGATCAAGTATGAATATAGCATAAACTCAATTTCTGAATATCCATTATCATACCCTTTCTTGTTAAAAACCAATTTCTCTTGCGTATATAATAGTTTCGCAAGTCAGATAATTTTTTTTTTGCCAAAAAAAATTAAATAAACAAGATTTTAAATTTTGTTTTTTACCCTAATTATAAATAAAAAAACCTATACATTCACTTAATTAAATACATTGAAAACTATATATATCAATATATATATAAAATAAAATTTTAATATGTTTATTCAACTTGCCTTGTTACAAGTCAAATAATTTTCTTTTTTAATATAAAAGAACTAATATGTAGATGTTATTAATAACATATATTTTTTTACATCGAGTAAAAAGTATAACTATGAATTAAAAAGATCAATACTTACTTATTGTTAAATAATATATTTATTTTGTTTTATTTATTAAATATATATTAATATTTTTAGTTTAATTTATATATAAACTTTTTGTATTTAGGTTAAAATAAGAATTTTAATATAAATCAATTGAGGAGAATTCTAGTCTCCTTTTTTTTTATGTGTTCGTATTTATTTTTATATTAAATGAATTGTTTTAACACTTATAATAAATTATAGTAAATATTATATACGATAAAAAAAATATGTAAGAACTCAAATTAATTTTTACATAATAAAAGAATGAAATAATGTTGAAATTGATATGATAGGGCAATTATTTTTGGCACCTCAGGTTTTGTCATGCATGAACTTTTAAAAGCTAATTTTAGTTTCTAGTGAGGATTATAGACTATATAAAATTAAAATTATATTTGCTTTTTTGAAGTGTTTGAAAACACAATTTAAACCATGTTCTCTTAAATTTTATTTAAAATATTTTTTATTAAGTCCTTTTGATATCAAATAATTTTTAAAAAATAATTTTTTTATTTTAATATATTTTTAAATAAAAAATATTTTAAACTAGTATCATTAACACAATCTCAAATACACTAATAATGGCGAATTCTATACCTTTGATTTAGGCTTGCTAATGAAACGGGTTTGAAATTGGTTATATCTCCCTTGCCTACGTCTTGTATTAATCGAATTCAAATTGGTTATTAATCGAATTCAAAGCAAGGGACAAAAAAATCTTTTTTGTTTTTGTTTTTTTTAATGAATTGGTTAAAAATCATCGGTGTTCCTGAACTGTATACTTTTGTAGAATTAGTACCCGTACAATGAACACAATGGTTTTTTTTTTTTCACAAAACAAAACTTAATATAATATTTCGATTAGTTCATCTACAATTTCTTTTTATTTATTAATTAAAACCACTCAGAGCCCTTGAACATGAAACACAATCGTCTCTTCAAATTGAGTAGGTAACCTCAGATTTATGCTTCGGTTGATGTAGATCTTGTAAGAAACCCTCAACACTATTCCAGTCCCAGCTATTTGTTTATTAGTCTAATGAGATCTTTGAATTTATTTCTTAATTTTTTTTTTATTAATATCAATATTCAGACTAGCTACATATGCTTGTCTTTTAATTTTAACTTATTAGACCAGTGAGATTATGAATGTTGCCCTGATAAATATTAGCAAGTTGGGACTTGGCAAACCTCAAGAATCGAAGATATGTTTACCAAGGAGCTTATCCATGCAAATTGATGTTAAGATGCTGGTATGCAAACCTGACAAAATAAAAGATAAGAGACAGGATAAAATGAGAAATAGAACACACAAGAATTTACGTGGTTCACCTAATTGGGCTACGTCCACAGACAAGTATATAAGGATTTTACTAAGTAATATGGGACTTACAACCTCTCTCGAATAATAGGAGAACAACTAAGAATCTCTCTATTATTAGGAGAAAACACCTTACTTACTCTATCACAAATACCTCACAATTTTGTGGGATTACTCTCTTTTCACTCTCTTCTTCTTCTCTCTATTTTGGTGTGCATATAGACTTGAATGCATTGTCTATTTATAGGCAAGAGTGAGGGTATAATGATTATAAATTTAGGAGGAATATATGCCTAACAACTCATCCTCCACTCATACTCCATTAATTATACCAACTCATCCTCCATCAATTTACAACTCATCTTCCACTCAAATCCCATTTATTATACCAACTCATCCTCCACTCATCCTCCACCAATTTACAACTCATCTCCCACTCAAATCCCATTAATTATGCCACCTAATTACATGACTTTACAATTGAGTCCACCATCGTTGCTTTGTTAAGTCTTCATAACTGATATTTACTGGGCTTTATTTTATTTTTTATCAATCGTTTAATTTTAACGTCATTGCTTCAATTCACTCTATCAAAAGAAATAAACAATTCGGTGATTATATAAATGCATTTATTGATCTTATAATCTAAAATGTTTCGTGTGAAACTTCAGTTTTGATAGGTGAAACTTAAAATTTTATAAAAATAAAATAAAATAAAATAAAAGGATCCTATATATTAAAAAAATAAAACAAGAGGCTCTAGTGATTTTCTATGGTGTTTCAATGAAAAAATTACGGATCCAAAAATGTTTTATTTTATTCTTAATTTGTTTTTTACTACTATCATTTATTTTAATTTTAACTTTTTATATTGTGGTTATTGTAAAATGGACTTGATATTTTGTTTCATATCATTTTTTTTCAGGTTTTCATATATCTTGATATAAATTTGGTTCTTAATTTTACAAGGAAGAATTTAGTTTGGTTGTTTATTTAAAAAAATTAAATATAAAAGGATGAAAAGTAAAAGTAAAATAAAATGACAACTTGTTATTTAAAAAGATTTTTTTTCTTCATATTATTGTCTTTCAGGTTATACACCCCGCTATAGCTATAGATTGTTTCTCGATTATGCAAGAATTTATTCACTTTTGTTGTTTGAGAGAAATTAACAATTGTTCCTTCGGGCTAAAATAACCTCCCTTCCCCCTTAGTTTTTTTTTTTTTTTTTTTTTAATTTAATTTTGTTTTAAAGGGGGTTTGTGTCATGCGTGAGATAACTCGTTGTTTCACCAGCGTTTGATTAACGGCAGACAGCTACTAGTACACAAACCTCTGCCACACGGCAAGTGCAGGTAAACTCGACATGTGGGCCCCGCAAGAGAACGTGAAGGTGGAATCATAGCTGACTTTAAAAGGTTACCTCAAGTCAAGGTCGCACATCCACCCTACACCCCCAGCAAGAAGTTACAGTTGCAGCACGTCAGGATCTTTGTTCACGGCAATGCTAATAACACATCATCAACAAGAAGTGGGAAATTGAAGCCCAAAGTATACAGATCATGTTTGCTGCTCTGAGTCACAGCTTTACTTAATCACTAAAACAACTCGGCAATAGTTGTTGGAAGGCTAATCCCGCAGTATAAACCCACTCAATTTTTGCTAAATTCATGGGGAGAAATTGAAATAAAGAAAAAGGGGGGGTGGGGGGTAATGTGTGAGATAATTGGTTGTTTCCCCACCGTTTGATTTACGGCAGACGGCTACCAATACACAAACCTCTGTCACGTAGCAAGTGCAAGTAAATTTGCTGATTATGATCAAATGATGGATCTGACTGAGAATTCATTCCTCTGATGAGGTTCTAATTGAGATAAGAAAGATGGAGGACCTAATTAAAATTAACCTTAAAGTTTGGGGATTTTATAATGAGATTTCTCAAGAAAAAATTGCACTAGACTTCCGTATTCAAAATTGGAGTGATTGATTTAGAAGATGTTTGGAAATGTAATTTGTTGGTTTTAAAAGTATTTTATATTTGAAAAAGTATTAAAATAATATTTTAATAAAAAATTATTTTTGATATTAGTATATCAAAATAATTTGAAAATATTAAAAAATATTAATTTAAAATAAATATAAATAAAACTTTAAATTTTTTTAAAAAATAACTTTTAAAACATAAAAATATACAAGGTATCTATGGAGTAACATGCTTGCAAGTCCTCTAACACACGCTCTTTCAGATATTCAGTCACGTATATTCCAACCGGCATTCAAGCCTCATAATTTGGTCTTCCGTCGACCAATATCGTGGTAATTTGTTTTATAAAAAGGGCTAGCTGCCACAGTGAGTTTTGTACCATCCGACTCCATTCTAATTAAACAGAAAAAGTAGCTGTCATGGGAATTCGAGGAATGGCCTTACAGTTCACAATAATGGGAGCAGTGTTAGCAGCAGTTACAGCAGCAACAGAGTTTCCTAGAGCGAAGCCTGGATGCCAAGATAGATGTGGGAATGTCAGTATCCCATATCCATTTGGCACGGAAAACGATTGCTACTACGACCATCGGTTCCTCATAACTTGCAACCATACTTTGAATCCTCCAAAAGCATTTCTCAACACAAGTAATATAAACGTCATGGAAATAGCTCTCGAAGGAAAGCTGCATATTTTGAAATACATAGCCAAGGAATGCTATGATGCATCAGGACGAACTCTCAGAATCATACCCTCATTTACGCTCGCCTATTTCATTATCTCTGATGCTGACAATATGTTCGTGTCCATTGGTTGCGATTCTGTGGCATCCCTCAATGGCAATTTCAAAGCAGCTGGTAGTACTGAGAACGAATACGTGGTAGGATGCACGTCCTTATGTAACAGCTTAAAATATGTACGTAATGATACATGCTCTGGCATAGGTTGTTGTCAAACATCCCTTGCCAAGGGAGTAAATAAATTTAACTTGACAGTTTCTAGCCGGAAAAATCATACTGGTATTTTGAACTTCAGATCCTGCAGCTATGCTTTCGTTATTGAAGAAAAGAAGTTCAATTTTTCTAGAAGTTATCTTCGGGATCTGAAGAACGTTGACAAGCTTCCTATGGTAGTTGACTGGAGTATTGGGAAAAATAGCTGCGCCGAGGTAAAAAAGAGTAGCAAGAATGCATGTCAAGGAAACAGCACTTGTTATGATCCTGACAGTGGATATGGGTACCTCTGCAGGTGCTTGGACGGGTACCGTGGAAACCCATACCTCCCTAATGGTTGCCTAGGTATTTATTTACTGTCTCGAATCTGTTTCTTTTTTTCCCTCTCAAATTAGAAAGTTTACCGAGGCTTCTTACTAATTTGCAACGTTTCTGTTCTTTTCCAGACATTGATGAATGTACAGATGCAACTGTAAACAACAATTGCACACATATTTGTACCAACTTGCAAGGGAATTATACATGTTCTTGCCCCAAGGGGTACCATGGTGACGGAAGAAAAAATGGCGAAGGCTGTATCCGCCATCGGTCACTGGTGATTCAGGTTGCTGTCGGTAAGTTCGTGTATTATCCACTTCATTTTCAATCCCGATGTTCATGTACATACTATTGTGTATAGATCTTTCATGTTCCATTAAAGGCAACTGTTTGTTTTTTTTGGTTTCTCATTTTTTATTTGGATAGGATATATACATGTGCCAATTTTTTGTTCTTGTTATTTAGATAAGGCTGTGGTGGTCAGTATTATTAAAACTATATCACAGTACTCCTTCTATTTCAACCTGAACTTAGACACCTGAATCTAATACTTGGTTCCCTCTATCAGAGACTTAAGTTTAATACTCATACTGGCCTCTTGTAGGAGGAATTGAGTGTAGATTTTTGTTAATTTTCTTTTCAGGGTTCTTACATTTTCAAAGTATACAATGAAATTCATGCAGTTAGTATTGTGATAAATGCTTGACCGGATGTCAGAGCATTGACTAGAATTTATTTTATCAATATAATTTGAAGTAGCTGTTGATGCAAAAGTGACTTGAAATATTCAGACACTATTCTAGATTTATTTCATCTCAAATTTGCAGCCCTTAGTATTTCAGAATACAAAACTGAGAGGAATCTAATTTGATCGATATAAACTCTGGAACTTAAAAGCCCACAACGTTTCATAGTCAAATCCACTACAAATGAACTCGTTTTTAATTTATTCTATATAACCGCGGGATCATTTCAACCAGAACTTCTTGATGGGAAATTTGCTCTCTCCACCTTTTATACATGATTTCAAATATTTCTTATTAAATAGAAAGGTTTACTCTCTAAACAGAAGCAAAAAATTGCAATAATTTCCCCTATGATCTTAACCATTCGGGTATACTTGCTCAATTTGGACGAATTTTCATATCTGCAACGTACATAATTAATTACAAATCAATGTTTCAACATCCTTGTACATGTAGGAAATGGAGTGGTGGTGACATCTTTGTTGATGGAAATTACTTGGCTGTACTGGGGATACAGTAAATGGAAGCTAATGAAGCTCAAAGAGAAGTTCTTTAGGCAGGCAAAATGTTGGTCCAATGCTGGAGCAGCAGCTATCAAGACGGGAGGGACCCGTTACAGAAACGGCAAAAATTGTTGAGTTTGTTGCTTCAAGTTGCTGCTGCTACTCTGTTTCAGTTACGATTTTTATGCTTTAATAAATGATTGTCCTAGTCTTTAGGAATCAATTGATCTGTTAGGTTGTTAACAGATCATGGCACGTTAAGCTGCTATAAGTTAGCATTTCTGTTGCTTTTATTTCAATAAATATGTAAACGATTGCTGTGAAACATTAAGCAATTCTGTATTCAATCCTTTTTCTTAATAATACTGCAGCATCAATAATTATTGCAGTTTTTACAATTCTCTTCTATTTTCTTTTCTTACATAATACTCAAACACGTAAACACTTTCAAAAATCTTTACAGCTGAAGAACTCGAGAAAGCCACCGACAAGTACCATGAGAGTAGGATTCTTGGTCGTGGAGGTTTTGGTATAGTTTACAAGGGAACTTTAACAGATGGAAGAACTGTTGCGATCAAGAAGTCCAAAACAATCGATCATAGCCAAATCGAGCAGTTTATCAATGAGGTGGTTGTTCTTTACCAAATCAATCATAGGAATGTGGTGAAGCTTCTAGGATGTTGCTTGGAGACAGAAGTCCCATTACTAGTTTATGAATATGTTGCAAATGGCACCCTCTATGACCACATTCACGACAAGAGTAAGGTGTCGGCCCTCACCTGGGAAATCCGTTTAAAGATTGCTTCTGAAACTGCTGGTGTTCTATCATATTTGCATTCCGCGGCTTCTGTGCCAATCATTCATAGGGATGTCAAGTCTACAAACATACTCCCGGACAACAGTTACACGGCAAAAGTGTCAGATTTTGGCACTTCTAGGTTAATTCCGTTGGATCAAGTTGAATTGTCAACAATGGTGCGAGGTACTCTAGGATACTTGGACCCTGAGTACTTGCACACAAGCCAACTGACGGACAAAAGTGATGTTTACAGTTTCGGAGTGGTTCTTGTGGAACTACTAACTGGGATGAAGGCAATTTCCTTCCATAAGCCTGAGGGGGAGAGGAATTTATCATCGTATTTTCTTTGTGCACTGAAAGAAGATCGCCTGGTCCTTATTCTTCAGGATTGCATGGTGAACCAGGATAATATCTGGCAGCTTAAGGAAGTTGCCAACATTGCAAAGAAGTGCTTAAGAGTAAAAGGAGAGGAAAGACCTAACATGAAGAAGGTAGCATTGGAATTAGAGGGGCTAAGAACATCTGCAAAACATCCTTGGACTAATGACGAATCAAATGTAGAAGACACAGAGTACTTGCTTGGTAAATCAGTGGAAACTGCTCGTTTTGAGGAAATGGTTGGTACAAGTGCTGGATATCACAGTTTACAGAATTATTTAATGCAATCACTGGATGGTGGCAGATGAACATTTTATTCTAGTGTCACGGCTTCGCTTGATAGTTTGCTTTGGATAATAGCTTGCCAGCAGTGTATGGTAATGCTTTTCTTCTCTTTTCTTTTCTATATTTCAGTCGTAATGCTTTTCTTTTCTATATTTCAGTCCAGTTCTGTTTTTGTTACAGTGGTCCTGCAATTTTAAAAGATGAAGAATTTCTGACAGTATGTCCAATATTCAACCCGCATTGAAACTCTTTATTCTATCTCTATTTTGTAATGTAATATTCCCAGTGATCTCCTTCAGAAAGCAAAAAAATTGCTGGGCACACATTCTGGTGTACACCATTTTGCCACTGAAAAGCATATTCTAAACAGGCAACACGCTATCATATTCCTTTCTCCTTGAGAACACATGCAAGCTTAGGAGCTGTTAATAATCTAATACTGACTCGTTTTTCCAACATGTTCTTTCTTTATTAATATTACCTCTATATTCAATCTAAGATTATAAGAGCACTGAATCAGGGAAAAAGAAAAAAGAAAACGAGGGCTAATAACTTCAGCATGATAACGATTGTATGTCTCTGGGAAGGAAATTTTTATTGTCGCCCCGACATTTAGACAACCTCAAAAAAAGCAATCCGTAAAGGCACAATCATTATTCAGTTTTTTCTTGCCGGTGAAAGCTAAAAAAATAAGTCTAACGTTGATCATTGTTATTCTTAATAAAGAAATTGATTCCACATTTTTACGAAAGATCAAGTTATATATTAAAACCCAATTTATGTCCATAATCAAGTATACTAAATTTGGACCTTAGGTCCAAAACCACATTGTCAATTCAAAGATAATAAAATTAAAGTTTAAAAACCATTACAAGAATCCAAAATAATGAGGACATGCTTTCCCTAAAAGATCTGCAAGAAGGAATTTATTAGTGGCATAACTAAAAAAAAAAAAATCAAATAATACCACTACCAAAAAATCTAGAAAAAATAAAAAATCTTAAAAAAATAATAAAATAAATCTTCCTAGCTTCCCAAAGCAATCTTTGGTTAGTGTTAAAGCCTTTTTAATATTTTCTATTACATATAATTCTAAATTTATCATATTAAATACAAGCATCAACATTTTATTTCAAAATTAAAATTTTTCTTGATCTATATACCCATCCAGAATGAATTGTATAACCATCCAGAATGAATTAGGCTTGGCCAGATTAAAAACCAATTATTGCATAAAAAATATGTATTGGTATTTTTTATATATATTTTGATAAAATATTTGAAATGATAATAAAAAAAACTTAATAAGTATATCAAATCAAATCAATCAACCATAATATATATTAATAAAAAAATTAATATAACGAGTCAAGAGCACACTAGTCACCTCGTTTAAATAGCAATATGGTTAAAAACAAATCCACACCACTATTATTTTAACCTCTAATTAGTCCTAACTTAAATGTGAAACAACAAATTATCAAAGCATTAAATTATATAAAAAAAAAAAATTAAGGAGTGAAATGAAAAGATAATGAGATATTGTATTAATTTGAATTAACATGTAAAATTTACAATCTATATAATAAATTCACCTGGTTGGATAATTTATATTTTTCTTTTTACTTTTTTTATTCTCTTCCTAATTGGGTCTTAATTTATCTCAAGTTAGCTTAACTTTGGAACTAATTGAAGAAATATAAAAGAATTAGAGATGAAATTTAAAAAAAAAAATTATGAATGACAAAATTAAAAATACACTAGCATAAAGAAAGAAAGAAAAACAATATTGTTAGATAAATTTCTTAAACTTGAGTTAATTTTTTAAAACTATAACCCATGAAATTCTAGACTCGGGTTCAATTAGAATGCTTAATTTTTAATCAATTTAATATTTAAGGAAGAAATTAAAAAAAAATCAATCTAAAAAATTTACTAAATTAAAAAACATAGTAATTAAAAATATAAGGTTTAAATTTGATATAAAAATAAAATGAAATCAAATATTAAATGATGAAGTTGAAAAATAAATTTAATTGAGACAATGATTCAAAGTGAAATAATTAATGGTAAAAAAAATTAAGAGAAAATTAAACATAAAAATACTAAAAAAAAGATAAAATTTAAAGAAGAATGAATTTTGTAAATCATTTTAAATAAAAAATAGTGATAAAAGAAACTTTTGGTATCATGTAACATGAGTTATTGGACTCTTTTAAGGCTGTAGAGTTTGAATAGTCAAAACAGGGCAGGACTGTTCATTCGCATGGAGAAGTTGACCGGCGATGGTTTCAGACTCTCTGAGACAGCCATCTACATTCGGTCTCTGGCTCTGGGCCTCTATGGCCGACGTTCCCTCTGATACCAGTCAGATGAGTCCCAAAAAAAGATGACAAATAAAAGGACTAATGCGAATGACGCTTTACTGGACCGAGAGAGAAAATGAAAGAAAACAAATGAATAGGAAACAACAGATAGAACTGAATCTGGGGTCTGTTGGTAAAACTTCGAGAAACTTTATTTTGAAGAATGATACATCTGCTCGCAGAAATTCAAGATATACTTGCATCGTTGTGATTATGTTGAATGAACATTCAAATTACAAGAGATGTTAATTACATAAAAGAAAATCTACGAAAATGGTACAGTAAGTTATTTCTCTGCATCAACATGATCCATGCTTCTCTGGTAACAAAACCAAGCTCACATGTGAAGTCGAAACTCCTGAAAAGAATCTTTCCCTCTGAGCTCGGTACCCATTACTTCATCTTCATTTCATGATCAATATATCTACTCGATCACATCTACAACGTTTTCGCGGACCAAGCCGAAAAAAATCTAAAAGTGTATGCTTCTCTTTAAAGCAAATATATAAATAAGAATCATCATGTAGACTAATTTACAAAACTCTGCATATGCTTGCGAGGTTCCAGACTGCATTTACTACAGTTAGAGAGATGATATTAGAGCTATTGAAACTGTAGCTAGACCTTTCCATCCGATGAAGGAAGATTGTAATCTGCTTTCATCATTGTAAGTGATGATCTGGAGACCGAATTGGTTCCTTTAGAGGGAGATGAGGAAGGAGCAGGCAGTTTCTTGGGCATCATTTGTTCCCAGTTAGACTTAGACAATCTTGACGCTTCTGATGAAAGAACAATGAAAGCAAGAAGAGTGAAGAGCAAGCACTTTTGCCTCCAAGAAACTAACATGTTGAATACTATCGTCAGGAGATGTCTTGAGAGCTCTCCTTTAACATTCCAAAGTAGCAGCTTTAGAGAGTTTGAGCCAGCAGACATGTCGAGCAATGTGAGGAGAATGCCAACTTGTTTGTTTGAGGAAAGATGAGTCAATGGCAGACAATGGATAATTTGATAATACTAAACTGTTAAGTAGTTCATGCTGTTGCTCTCATTGTCTAAAAGGGAGTAAGAATCTGAGCGTACGAGTGAGGAATTTGAGGGATTTTAATATTCACCAGGGACCGCTCATTAGTTGGGGTGAGCATCGGTGCATACTAGTTCATGAATGCAAATTCTGATTAAAATATATCAAGATATTAAACCTGATACTGAAGCATGTGTTGTTACTAGGAAAGTGGCTATAGCCTCAGCTCTATTTTTGAAAAGACCGACCTAAACAGACCTAGGGTTACAATTGTTCTTTATTTTCAATCATGCAGTCAAGAGGATAGTACTCTTTTCATAATTTTCAGATAGCTCAAGAGCCGAACAAGTCTAACTAATAAAAGAAGTTCACTAAGAAAGTTCAAAAGGAGTCCAAAAAGAAGCATCTTGACACTTTTGTACACTGCTTTCCCAACAAAGTTAGCTCCCAGCGATATAAAATATGGATGATCAGTAAGATGTCAATTTAAAAGTCCAGTGATCAAGGCACTCCTGTCCTGAAATGTATTTTGAGCAATTAGACAGAAAGGGACATTTTCACGAACTCTGTACGTGCGTGTGTTGAGAATATATATACATGGAACACAACGAGTGTCTTGTGTCCAAACATGCAGCGATAAAATCTGTCATGGTCTGCTGTATTGCCAATTTATGCTGCATTTAAAAGGTCTCAGCTGTCACAAATACACTCCTGACGCCTGTTTGCCAAGCTGTGTAGCTTCTTTTATTCGCCAAGCTGAAGGAGCAACCATCCCGAAGAACATGTATGGAGAATTGTTCTAACTTCACTCTATGTTAAGAGAGTTTTGGCAGTCCAAAATCTCAACTTCTCTTATTAAGAATTACATTGAGAAAATAAATGCCTGTCAGTCTCCCATGGCCCTGCAGTTTTACAGATCATACTTTGAATCTCCCGCAATCTGTGGAGGTACTTGATGGTTTCCTCCTCGACAAAGGACTACAGATTTAAGTGAAATCCTTTTGTAGTAGCAGGCACCAGTAATTTATGGTCCCTTTCTTTTTCTTTAATTCTCTCTCCTTTCTGCTAATCTAGCTTCAGGTGGCACAAGGCGGTAGGGATCAGCCATGCCAACGGTCTACCTCCAACTAGATCCCCGTTTGGAGTTGTTTGAGCTTTTCCAAATTCAAAACCCTAATGAAGATCTTTTAAAAAGATTTAGTAGCTGAATTTTAATTTTTAATCATTTTTACATTACAAAAACATCTCTCACAGCTGCAAACAACGTCGTGCAAACATCAGTTTAGTGCCGAGACTATAATCAATATCTCAATTACATCTCTAGAGAATCATTTCCAATTTGTAATCTAGGAGCTAGGAATCGTTCTATTTAATAGATTTTGGAAGTCTTTCGTAATGGATTTGTGATAATCTTGGAAAAATTGTAGAGCTGAGAATCCTGTTAGGGTCCAAATAAGAAGAAAAATCTTTCGAAGACACTTGAGATTCACCAATGGAGATTTTTTTTTTTTTTTTGAGTGTTTGTTTGTGAGAGGTGGCACGCGGCCCACCTCACGGAAAGCATGTAATACATGCTTTTTCATGAGGTGCACGGCGGGCGGTGCACCTCTTAAACAAGCACACGTTTAAATAGTTTGACGGCTACTTGCCCAGAATCTTTTAATAGCCAGACTCAAAACTGTACAGTACAGCCACATTACAACAGCATTATCAAACACCATAGAACAATATATATATATATAACAAGTTTGCAAAATTGTGATTTCTCAGTAACATCCATGATAAGTATGCAGCCAAAATCCCTCTTATTAAAGAGGGTTGATTAAAATGACACTAAATATTGATGAAAATAAGGAGAATTTAAAGAACAACTAAGTAAATAACTATTATTTTACAATTTCTTGTGGATAAATACAGCTATTGATACTAACCGTCAAATGCCTACGATAGAAAACAGAACCATGCCTGTAAGCCTAATACAGGCAGCCTGGTAAACCTCAGATGAAAGGTACAAACTGACACGTCAGGCTTGTATGATGGCTGATGTTATTGTTTCTGATTCCGTAGGACGCCACATTGTCTTTTGAACACAAAGCAGTCCCTCATTGTCTTTTGAGTAAATCATCCGGATCTCCCATTTCAGAGATTTGGCCAGCCTCTCAATCTCACCAATGATTTCAACATTGTCACGCACAATCAGCTTTCCTTCTGGCCTCAGGATCCGATCAACTTCTGCTATTACTGCCACTAAGTCGCACCTATGTTCAGAAAAACAACAGAACATCAGGTCAGACAAATTATCTAGATCTCTTTCTTTAGGAAGCGGCAATGTGATGAACCTACCTCTTTTTTAGACCGGAGAAGAGATGATCAGCATGTAGAAGATCATAAGTTCTAGGATAGGTATTGAATGATTCACACCAATCATGATACATTCCAAACAAACCACGCTCATAGATTATTGGAAGCGTGTCTGCAGAGTCAGTTGGGACTATATTCATAACCCACACTTTCAAGTCTTTCAGTGCCGCAGCAAACCTAAAACAATTACAGAAAAGCATAAGAAAATAAAAGAGTCATGGCAGCACAAGGCTATATGCATCTTAATCATGGAAAATGGAAACATAGCAACCATGATGATCATGAGCTACTGAGGGGAAACCCCCATCAATCATTAAGTTGAATGACATGCCAGCACATGAACATGAAAGGATAAACCAAAATACATGAAACACTCCTTTACCCAGCAGAACAAATCAAAAGAATGCAGCTTAAGCTTAACATACCAAAATCTTATCTTTGATTTTATGGGTTCATCTACAACCCGATCAGATCTATCAAAAAAAGCACGTTTGAATTGGATAGCACACAGATAAGAGAAAGTGTCTCTATTGTGAATGATAAACACAAGTCTGCTTAGCCATCTATAGTATAAAATAAAATTGTTAAATTGCTTACCCTCCATATACAGCTCTCATGTCCATGATATTTCTCACAGAAGACCATTTAATTCCTATCCCATTCAAATAAGACTGGGAGACAACATTTTTCCAATGTCTATAGTCAGCAGCAAAATCCTCTGCAGCAGCTTTACCATAAACTCCAACCTGAGAATTCAACCAGTATGGTGGTTTCTCCAGCCGTTTTGGCCATTGCTCAGGCCAATGAGACCCACGCACTGACGCATCTACAGGCACTTTATGCATACATGCCTCGAGCAGGACATTCCTGAAGACAAACATCCATTCCTCTATTTAGAGATTATAATAAAAGTGGTAGCATTTTTACATCGCTTCAATTAGTTTTGATTTTTCCATATTTAGTTTTAGTTTTTAAACACTTTCTACCCAAGCTATGATGAAAACTCGGGAAGGGGTAATTGTGGAAGAACAAAAGGTGATTCTAATTCCATGGGACAAATAAAAGTACCACGCTGCATTTGGATCATCAGATTCTTTGCACAGTGGAGGCTCATTTTGTGGTCTATTATTATAGCAGTCATTGGAAGTTGGCTTTCTATATATTGCTGCACCAACACCATTTAGCTTGTCCGTTTTAATCACCACCAGATCCCAGCACATTGACTTTGTTAGTTTGGACATTGCTGCATAGAAGAAAGCAAGAAAGAAAGAAAGAAGAGTAATATGAAGACAACCCATAGTACTATCCTCTTGGAAGGAATGCAAGCCTTAGAAAATATTCTACCTTTCCAAATGCCCACATCTTCCGGACGCTTTCGATAAACTGGGGTGGCAGACCAGACAAAGTAACCACCAGGCCTCAACACCCGATTCAGCTCCCAAAGAAGTTTACCACCTGCAGGAAGACTCAAAATATCTCTCTGAACCAAAAAAACAAACCGACAGAAATTTTTTGCCAGAGTATAATAGACACAGACATTACCTTCAATGTGCCAAGGAACCCTACAGCGTGCACAATGAACAAGATCAAAAACAGAACTAGGAAAGGGTAATCTCTTCGTGCCCATAACAGCCAACATCGCAGGGATACCCCTTTCAAGTGCAAATTGAACCTGGGCTTCATGTTCATCCTTGGGAGCAAATGACATTGCAAGAACATCTTTTTCCAAAAGATAACCTCCAAAGCTTGCCACCCCACACCCAACATCCAATATCACTCGGCTTCTTTTTCCCCATGCAATATCAGGATGGGACTGCATCATTCATAGAAAAAACCTATCACATCATACTCTTCAGTGTACACAACGATATTTGCAAACAATCAATCTAGTTCAATGAAATAGTGTCTCATGTTCAATCTTTTGAATTAGTGATTCTACAAAATAAAGGACAGGAAATGCAGAAAACAGGTGCAATAAAGAAACTCACATCCTGAATGAAATCAATATAATGAAGAGCACCATGCTTGAACTGAGTTCCACCACCTGGAAAAGTAAGATATTCACCAGTAACTTTAACCCAATTCTGATGCCCCTTAACCTCGGCAAGCTTGGTGTTAGGGACGTTATAGAACCATATCTGCCATGTGCGCCAAGAGAAGAAATTCAGCTATAAACAGGAAAGGTTTTTTCATTGATTAGTTGGATCAGCGTTTACCTTTTCCCTGCTTTTAGGCCACTTAACTGAGCGTCTATATCCTTCAGGTATGGGTACCAAACAAGTGGGAGCTTCTTGAGGACAGTGCCTCTCTCGATGTTCATAGTGCTTTGTGCTTGGAAGCCTTCTTATAACGTACCAATTATCAAGGCAAGGAACATAGGCTGGTCCGGCAGTGACATTACAAAGTTTCCATCCATGACCATAATGATCCTTAGCTATTGAAGATTGTTGAGATATCTTCTCATTCTGTGACTCCACCACTTGAGTCGACCAAGCCCCATTTTGAGTATTGGTTTCATTTAGAAGTTCTGACTGTGTGCCAGCAGGTAAAATCTCAATGGAAGTTTGATCATTCTCTTGACTATCCACGTTATTCTCAGTAGCACCTTCCTGGTTATTTTCATTTGCATTCTCCCCTGAGTCTGGGTTCTTCTCCCCGTCATCTGACTTGGATTTATTTTCACTTGAGCTATCCTCTGATTCTGTTTGATCGCTTTCATTTGCTTCATTGCCTTGAGCTTGGGTCTCTCCAGCTTCTGAATTTGATTCTTTATCACCTGAATTCAACTCTCTATCCTCTGTTTTTCCATCCTCATTATTTTCAGTCTCCATCTTTCGTTCCATTTCAGAAACAGCCTTCCCATCCTGGTTTTCTTCAACCATATTCTTAGACTCGGCCTTCTCATCCCTGTTCTCATCTTTGTTATCCTCAACAGTAATTTCACTCTCTTTTTTAGTCACCTTTGGGTCATCATGGACATCAGAATGGCTATCACTTTGAGAATCAACAGCATTGCCATCTTCTTTTGTTGCATCCTCCGGTAAATCACCAGGACTGTCTTCAAAATGTTTGGAAATATTTTCACCAGCCACTCGTTTCACATTCTC